GCTTGGATGGAGTTCCTGCAAGGCAGGGGGTTGGACTCAATAGCCCCTGTGGTCTCTTCCAACTCTGTGATTCTATGGCTAAAACGGGACCATTAAGAAAGAAATCAAGGGCTTGATTTTTGCTGCACAAGAACAAGCACTCCAAACCAATGTGATGAAACCTAAGATTCAAGGAATTAGTGCTAATAGCGAATGCTGACTCTGCCAAGAAACAGATGAAACTGTCACAACTCATCTGTGAATGTCCAAAGATTGCACAAACAGATTACAAAACCACATGATAGAATGGCAGAATTAGTGCACTGGTCAAAAATATAACTCGCCAGCCTCCAAAAACCCATGGGAATATCAGGTGATGGTTAGAAGGAGAATGGAATTTGTAGTCAGAGAAAATGGAGTCAATTAGGTTCTGTGTGAAATGATTTTAAGGCATTGGAATGTGATAGGCCCTGAGACTGTTATTTCAGTTCATTATTTGCCAGCGAGAACTCAGATAAGGACGAAGGACAAAGCAGGAGGCCCGGAGAGCTCAAACACATATGCCATCCTAATTGGGAGAATATAAAAAACACCTGCATCTTCATGAGAATTATGGGTGGAGAGATGTGTCACGCCCCTTTGAAGTTAATTGGTTTACAGCTATGAAGTTGTCAAGAAGAGGGAGGTGTTAGAAATGTAAAAAAGATGGATGATAGGATGTGTAAGAGAGCTTCTCTTAGCTTTGCCAGCTTGGAGAGTTTTCGAATGGATTGAGCTATGTGAAGGAATGTTTACAGAATGTAGTATGGTAAGAAGAAGGCCAATTTGAATTTGAATGTGACCAAACTCCAGGAGGCAGTGGAAGACAGGAGGGCCTGGTGTGCTTTGATCCATGGGGTCACAAAGAGTCGAACACGACTAAATGACTAAATGACGACAACCGTGGTGGTGGGGGTGGGAATAAGCCACTTTAGCTTAGATTTTTAGTGTTTCTTATTTTAATAAGAAATAGCAGCTTTATTTAACTATTGTAATCTTTTGAATGTTTTATGCTACTGCTTTTGCAAACAAACTGTTTTTATGAATCTTTATTTTCTTAATAAAAAATAATTATAAAATCTCAACTGAGGACTAGTCTCTTGAAACAGCAGGGTTAGATTTAAAGCCAAAGCAGTGGAAAAGGTCACTAACTGGCTACTATAGAGAAGTCCTACCTTACTGAGCTATTGTAAGTTCTGAGGAATCACAAGCCCATGTGTAAGTACTTTCAAAGTACAGAGTACAGTGAAGTGCTCTTTAATGGTCAGGCTTGTCCGTGGCATAGATGTTATGCACTGCTGAGGCTTAAGGACTTACCTCAGTAAAAAGTGATAGATTTGTGACCTGAGTAACTCCCTGCCCAGACTCCATACCCTCCTTAGGGAGACTTAGACATCACAATGAAGGTGTCAAAAAAGGACAATGTCAAGATCTTGTGGGATTTCTGGATCCAAACAGACACGTTGAATATAACCCACTAGATACAGTACTAACAGAATGAAGAAACGCCTGGATCACTGACATTGCAATTCCAGGAAATGCCAGAATTGAAAATAAAGAATTAGAAAAACTTACAAAATACAGAGACATGGCAATCGAAACATCTCGCTTATGGATGAAACACATTTCAATAGTCCCCATAGTCATCAGAGCATTGGGAACAATATCAAGAATTTCACACAGTATTATAAGCAGTCACTGATGTCAAAAATAACACCATCAGAGATTTTTAAAACAGCAATATTAGGAATAGTATATATACAATATCTTGATATTTAATAAATACTCAGGTTTTTGGTTAAAACTTGTATCTGCTATATAATACCACTCAATGTTTGTATAATTTTGATTGACTGTGCCTGGTATTTTGAAAATACTACTACTACTACTACTACTACTACTACTACTACTACTACTACTACTACTACTACTACTACTACTACTAATAATAATAATAATAATA